CAATGTTAATTCTAACAATCCAAGAGCATGAGATGTCTTCCCATCTTCTTGTGCCCTCTTTAATTTCTCTCAACAGTGGCTTTTAATTCTCATCACAGAGATTTTTCACGTCCTTGGTTAACTTTTTTCGCAGGTACTTTGTTTTTTTGGCGACTATGGTAAATGGTCTAGCTTTCTTGATTTCTTTTTCTGCTTGTTCATTGTTCAAGTATAGAGATGCTACTAATTTTTGTGTGTTGATTTTATATCCTGCAACTTTGATGAAATCATTTATTAACTCTAAGAGTTTTTTTGTAGAGTCTTTAGGCTGTTCTATATATAAGATCTTATCATCTGCAAACAGGAACAGGTTGACTTCATGTTTTCCAATCTGGATGCCCTTTATTTCTCTTTCTTCCCTTATTGTTCTGGCTAGTACTTCCAACACTGTTGACTAGGAGTGGTGAGAGAGGGCATCCTTGTCTAGTTCCTGTACTTAAGGGAAAAGCTTTCAACTTTTCCCCATTTAGGATGATGTTGGCAGTGGGTTTGTCATATATGGCTTTAATTGTGTTGTGATACTTTCTTTCTGTATCCAATTTATAGAGTCTTTATCATCAGTGAATGTTGAATTTTGTCAAATGCTTTTTCAGCATCTATAGAGATGATCATATGGTTTTTGTCTTTGATTTTGTTGATGTGGTGTATCATATTTATTGATTTGCATCTGTTGAACCAACCTTGTATCCCTGGGATGAATACCACTTGATCATGGTGTATAATTTTATGTATGTGTTGCTGTATTCTGTTAGCTAGTATTTTATTGAGAGTTTTTGCATCTATATTCATCAAAGATATTGGCCTGTAGTTTTCTTTTTTTGTTGTATCTTTGTCTGGTTTTGGTATCAGGGTGATGTTTGCCTCATAGAATGAGTTTGGGAGAATAGCCTCTGTTTCAGTCTTTTGGAATAGTTTGTAGAGACTTGGTATCAATTCTTCTTTAAAGGTTTGGTAGAATTCTGCAGTGAAACCATCCACTCCTGGGCTTTTCTTTGTTGGGAGACTTCTGATAACAGCTTCAATCTCTTTTATTGTTATTTGTCTGTTCAGATTTCCTGTGTCTTCATGGCTCAGTCTTGATAGTTTGTGTGTGTTCAGAAATTTATCTATTTTCTCCAGATTTTCAAATTTGTTGGTGTATGGTTGTTTATAGTAGTTGCTAATGATTCTTTGTATTTCTGAGTTTATTGGTAGTAATATCACCTTTCTCGTTTCTAGTTTTCATTATTTGTATCTTCTCTCTTATTTTTTTTAGTTAGCCTAGCTAATGGCTTGTCCATTTTATCTGTATTCTCAAAACAACTTTTTGTTTCATTATCTTTTGTATCATTTTTTGGGTTTCTGTTGCATTTAGTTCTATTCTGATCTTAATTATTTGTTTTCATCTGCCTAGTTTGGGTTTGGATTGTTCTTGATTTTCTTATTTAAGGTGAAGTGTTAGGTTGTTTACTTGTCATGTTTCCATTCTTCTGAAGTAAGCACTTAATGTGACAAATTTCCCCCTTAGTACTGCTTTAATATTCCATTGTATATCTGTATCACACAGGAAAATTATTTTTAAAACAGACTACCTGAAACAGCTTACCTAACTATCCCTTATTTGAAGGATAGTCTGATAGGCAGACACTGGCGGGCATACTCACTTTGCTATTTTGGGGTGGCCCAAACTCCTTAGGAAATTAGTAGTAGTTTTAATGTGTATAGCATGTTGATTTAGGTGTTTCATTTGAGTTAAAAAATTAAATATTATTTTTCCTATTATCCATGCCCCTTTTTAAGGAGAAATAAATTGATTAATTATAGGCACATAGTTAAATATAAGGGCACTAAACAGAAATAGGTGACTTAAAAATCTTTAAATATTTCCCTGAAGGATTACAAAATAAGAAAGTACAAGGGAGCATGGAGAGAACTACCAGACTACTCTGTAAACAAAGCAGCACTTCAAAACAGGGATGGTAGCTCTGGGTCACATCACTCACAGGTATGTTCTGTGCTAATATCTGTAAGCAGTCAGATAATCCTAACTTTAAATCATATTATTATCACGTACTGTCAAGTTCCTTCCTACTCTGCCTCATAAGTTAATTTGCAGGCAAATAGTATTTTTAGTTTGCTGTATCAGCATGGATTTAATAGCCTTTAATACATCAATCTTTAATTCACATTCGCATTAAAAAGCAAACATTTTGAGCTTAATAGTTTTGGAATCTGTAGTTAGAATGCATATATAATGTATTTGTGTTTTTTAAATTGTGCTTTTCTGTTGGGGCTATTTATCTGATAACTTGAATTTTGGAATGTAAGCCTCCTTTTTCCTCATTGCCCTTATCATTTCAAATATATTTTTATATTAGTTTTGTGCTATCTAATCAATGTTATGATTTTAGTCCCTGAAATGTCAGATCTGGTGATATTTAAATTACTTTAGTCTTTGAAGACAGCACCTGGAGCAATTCAGCCTTTGAGGGTGAGTAGGTGATAAGAGCTTACTCAGCTGTTTACCAAGCAGAAATGGCTCAAGTGAAAGAGTCTTTAGAAAATCCATTTCTACTTACAAGCTTTCAGTATAACAAACGTGTCATGGCAAATGGTGAGTGTGGGGAACAAAATACACTGTAGTTACATGAAAGGGGAATACAGAAAATAAACTGAAAAGAGGGAAAAAAGGCCAGTTTTCATTGTGGCAAAAACTAAATCTGTTTTCTTCATGACTCTAGTGTCAGAGCATTGAGTTAACATCAGGCATTTGATCAGAATAGAGAGCAATAGAAAACGAGAAACTAAGGTAAAAAACAGAAAGTATGAAAGGGTGATTTCAAATAAAATGAGAAGCTAGAGATAAACATAAAAATCAGTATTAAACCCTTAAGCTTTTCATAGAATCAGGAGGCAGAACATTCTTGAAGTGAGATAAAAACCTATGCAGGCATCTGTTTGATGTTGTCTGGCTCAGCCTTAAAAGCCTTCCTCACAGTTACGACTTTTCCAGCACAAACGCCACAGCTGCTTCACGCTCTCCTCTCCTGCAGGGCCTTTCCAACTACTTTTGGAGATGGAGGCATCTTTCCTGGGCCTCTGATCTCTTCCTTTGCAGTGAGCACTGAGTTTCCTTATCCCCCAGCCCCACAGTACTGTGCTCCACTTGGTTCTCTCACATTTGGCTTCTCATTGGAATCTTACCACTGCCCTTTGAAGCCAATTTAGTAGACTCTGCAGGTACCTTATCACCTGTCACCATCCACATTTCATTGGCTGTAAGGAAGCCATTTGTAGGAGTTAGTAGTCGGCCAGCAGGTGGCAAGGATAAAGGCAAGACCAGCACCAAATTTTCTGACTCCAGATCCTGGGCTTTTCATCACTACAACTTAGAGTGCTTCCTTTAAAACAACAGCAAAAACAAACAAGTAAAACCTTCCTTGACCCTGCTATTCCTTTCCTACTGCCAGATTCTTCAAATATGATTATGTCCAAACCCAGCATGGCATAGTGGAAAGACTGTTGACTTTGGAGTCAGGCAGGCCAGAGCTGAAAACCTGTGATTGCTGTGTGATCTTGAACACATTTCTAAGCCTCAGTTTCTACATCTGTAAAATATATAGGGTGGTTGGGACATTAAATGACAACGACTATATTAAGTACATAGCCCAATGAGAAAGATGATGAATTTTAATTTATTGTTGCATATTGTCTCCTGCATACGGACTTCGACCATTACCTCTCCGGAGAACTTGATCTGGAAAGTTCATGATTGCTTCTTGCTGAATCTTATGGCCTTTTCTCAGCTTTCAGCCTTCTTCAACTACTTATACTTTAATTCTCTCTATCCCCTTGACTTTCTTAATATTGTATTATTGATTCTTCCTTTTCTGGTGGCTTCTTTTTTGTCTGATTTATTGACTTCTTTTCCTCATTCTACCCTTATGTAAGTAATCTTCTGAGGTTCCATCTGCAGCCTTTGCTCTTGTTGACAAGACTAAGTTGTATTAATAAATTAGAAAGGAGTTAATATTATGTTTTGCTTTGTGCAGTACATCCCAGCCTTGGTTCTTCCTTATCTGTCTTCTACTTTCAAATATGAAAATGTCACATTGGGTTTTATTCATGAGCAACAGGTAAAGCCCCAGCACCGTTAACAATGAAAAGCTTTAATTATCTTATTCCATGTAGACATGGCAAGTGATGCCCATACCCAAACTTTTAGTGTAGTGGTGGTGGTGATGACGATGATGATATTAATAATTTTGTTTTCCACATAGTGCTATAGAGCTTACACAGTAGTCTCACCTGTGTTATCTGAATTTGTTCCTCAAAATAACACAGTGAGATAGGTAGAGTCTTGAATTACCTAACACATTTTATAGATGATGTAAAAAATTTTCTGACTTTGACTCTAGAAGTAGTGCCTTTTCTATTTTGTGCCATACTATTGTTTGCTGCCTATTCCATGTAACTTCTCTGATATGTCTGTGAATGCTAGATTTTAGGCTAAAGAAGAGATAACACATTCTTATCTAATTTAGGGAAAACTAAGGAAAAGAGGTAAAATTCAAAACAGTAAATTGAGTTACTTATTGATCGCAAGGAAGAGTTATAAATTTGGAGGCCAAAACTTGATTATAAGAGTTTGGGGAAAGTATTTATTTGTGTATTTACAAATGTATTTATTTGTATATTTATTTATTTTACCTTTGGGGAAAGTATTTGTTTGTACTAAGTAGTATAAACATTTATTAATAAGAGCTGACTCTATAATACATATAAAGAAGGCAAAAAATATAAAAAATTATACTGTCAAAAATTTTAAAGCGTAAGAAATTAAGCTTAGTTTAAATGGGGGATTTCATCTCTTTAGTTAGAGAAGTCTTCATGTTACCATAGATCACATTCATTCATTCATCATTCACTCTAATTGTCTTTTGTTCCTACCTAATGAAGTATATTGTATGTTTGTTTTGCAGATCTAAAGCGGGAAGCCAGTATCTGTCATATGCTGAAACATCCACACATTGTAGAGTTATTGGAGACATATAGCTCAGATGGAATGCTTTACATGGTTTTTGAATTGTGAGTGTGCATTTTATTTCTTAAGGGGTAAAGTTTTAAGCAATGTTAGTATTGGATAATGATAACACTTTTTTCTTAAAGTTTAACAATAGTTGTGAACTTGTCTGTTTAGAAAGACCTAAAGTCACAAGGAAAAAGGGATGATCTCATATGAAGGTTCACAGTGGCAAAGGAAGCAAAAGCTGGGCATATTCAGTTACCCTCACACTTTCAGCACACTTGAGAGAATAGGCTCCAAAAGGAGATAGTTCAGAGGGAGAGGAGGACCCAAAATATTAAATTCTGACCAATCAGAGTCTTAGTGAAGAGGAGTGGGATGAGAGTGGAAACCTCCATGTAGCAAGCCTCTCTGGCAAAACCCAGAAATAACAGACTTAACTTCCTCTTTTGATATAATCAGTGTTGGCATATGAGGGGAATTCTATAGATAAAGTGTGTCTTTTTTTTTTTTTTTCCTTTTTGTCTTTTTTTTACTGACCGGCAACGGATCGCAACCCTCAGTGTCGCGCCCGTACCGGACCGGGACCGGCAACGGGATCGCAACCCTCGGTGTTGCGCCCGCACCTCGCTCAGCCAGTGAGCGGCCGGTCTGTACGTGGGATCCGAACCCTCGGACGGGAGCGCCGCCGCGTTCTCAAGCGGCGCACCGTAGCTGTGCGCCACCGGGCCGGCCCCAATAAAGTGTGTCTTGATTTCAGTAAGGCACTTGACATGTTTCTCACAGAATTTTTGTCAGTAAGATGGAGAAATGTGAGCTAAGGATAGTAGTCCACTTGGTAGTCCATAGCTGGTTGGATGATTGTGTCTAAAGAGATTGTATAAAGCTTTATGGGACAACATCCTGCAGTGTTTTTTGCCTTTAATCCTGTTCTGTTCAAAATTATAATCAGTAACTCTGATTAGGAAAAAAAAGGAAGACATGCTTGCTAAACATTCAAAAGACATGAAGGTTGGAGGGTATATTCATTATCTATTGCTTCATAACAAATTACCCAAAACTTAGTGGCTTAAAACCACACAAATTTATTATCTCAGCCTCTGTGCATCAGGAATGTGGGCCCAACTTAACTGGGTCCTCTGGCTCTGGGGCTCTCACAAGGTGGTAATTAAGGTGTTGGCCAGGGCTGAAGTCATTTTAAGGTTCCATGGGGGGTGGATCTGCTTCCAGGCTCACTCAGTGGTTGTTGGCAGTCTTCAGTTCCTCGTGGGCTATTGCACTAAGGGCCTCTATTCCTTAGGAGCTGTTGGCCCGAGGCCTTCCTTGGGTCCTTGTCACGTGGGTCTCACCACAGAGCACCTCACAATATGGCAACTGGCTTCATCAGAGCAAGCAAGCAAGAGGGCAAAGGAGAGAGTGTGAACAAGACAGAAGTCACAGTCTTGTAGCCTAATCTTCAAAATTATACACCATTGCTTTGCCATATTCTTTTAGTTAGAAGGAAGTCACTAGATCTAGCCCACACACAAGGGGAGGAGATTACACCAGGGCCTGAATACCAGGAGTTGGGGATCATTGGGAGGCATTTCACAAGCTGTCTCCCACTGAGGGCTAGCTAACATGTTGGCTATCTACACTGAAATTCAAAAATGTTTCACTTTTGTAGCAAAGGAGCTGAAATAAAATTTAAGACCAGTTCATATAAACTCTTTCATTCAAATATATAAGTGCAAGATCAGTGTGAATTTAGTTGTGACTAATGTAAAAAAGATGTAAACTTTTTAGTTAGTTGTTTGCAGAAGCTTAAAAAGGCCCAAATGGAAGGTTAACATTAATTAGAAATATATCATGTTCAGAACAAAGCCACACTCCCACTGTATATATTGCACAGTGCTCACTCTCCCTGGAGTGTTCGTAGTAAGCAGGACACTGGAGTGTTTGCAGAAGGGGATAACCAGAGTGGGAAAGAGCCTGGAAGTTTTGTCATAGAATCACAGCTTTCAAAATTTTTGCTGACAAAGCTGGTAAAAGAATTCTCAAAAACTTATGTACCCTTCTCACATTTTTAACTTGATATATAAAAGCTTTTATTGTAAGAATGTAATTTTCAGTGTCTTGAATATTCTTTTAAATAGATTTTCTTCACAACAGTGGGGCTGCACATTTATCTCATTCGCTTTATGGAAATGCTATGTGACCCACGTAGCAAAGCTAGTCCTCATTGTCAAATCACTCAGCCAAATCATGCTCACTTTCTGTCAGAAAAAAATCTGACTTCATTTTTTAAATAAAATTAAAGTGTTAATAGACATCCCTATGACACTTATATTGATTTTGAATTCTTTTTTTTTTTCCCTTTTTGTTTTTTTTCATGACCGGTAATGGGATTGCAACCCTCGGTGTCGCGCCCGCACCGCGCTCAACCAGTGAGCGGACTGGTCTCTATATGGGATCCGAACCCTCGGCGGGAGCGCCACCCCACTCCCAAGCGCCACACTCTACCAAGTATGCCACCGGTCTGGCCCCTTGATTTTGAATTCTAAAATAGATCAGGCTTTGCCATGAATATATTGCCTGGATGAAGTAAGGTGGCACCTCCCTTTCTTTCTCAGGCCCTCTTTGTTTTGCTCTCAAGGATCTCTCTCTCCCTCAGGAGCTGTGCATTCCCCAGTTGTCTCTTTGAAGCTAGTCAGGCTTTATGGGATGGGGAAGCAGTTTGTCTTTTGAGATAGGTCATTTTAGACATGGAGATATAAAGGAAATCCAGCAGGCCACAAACTTATTTTCAGACAGACCAAATTATTGCAGATGAAGATATGGAAACTGCCTTAAAAATATCCTAGTTTGTGTACCCTCTGGAAGGACTTTGGGTACTTCCAGAGATACCCAAATCCCAGATGGAAGAGGATTGGCATGCAAGAATTCTTAAAAAGAATGGGAGACTCGAGTTACCCATGAATGTACTGGTTTTCTGCTGCTGCTAAAAGAGTCCCCAGAGCAGAAGCCCAAAGGTAGAACATAATCAGTGTCTTTGGTTATTTGCAAGTTCGTCATGTATAAGAAGATTATATGCTTATTCAGTATAGTGTTGGAGGCTGTAACTACAATCAACAAGTGGCAGGTTTCACCTCTAAATAAGGAAGGCCCCTTTAATGATTAGACATACTCTATAAATGAAGCAGGCTGTCTCACAGAGTATGTAGTTCCTCACTAGAAATGCTCAAGCTGAAACTCGATCCATCAAAGGGGGCTGAAAATAAGGTTTTAATTTTGGACTAGAGAAGGCCTCTAACATCCCTTCTAATTTTAAGATGATATAATTCTTTTTAAATCACTTTTTTGGTTTAATTTTATTCTTTAAGAAATCTGTTTCTGTCCATATTTTTATTCTCTGAGAAAACTAAAAAAAAAATAAAAGGTTTTATCATATACTACAAAATAATGAGCACAGAAAGCAAAATTTTAAAATTCACCTAAGCCGGCCCGTGGCTCACTTGGGAGAGTGCGGTGCTGATAACACCAAGGCCACAGGTTCGGATCCCTACATAGGGATGGCCGGTTAGCTCACTTGGGAGAGTGTGGTGCTGACAACACCAAGTCAAGGGTTAAGATCCCCTTACCGATCATCTTTAAATAAATAAATAAATAAATAAAATTAAAAAAAAAATAAAATTCACCTAAATTTCACCATGTTTGCTGTTTGTATCAAAGGGGCGTAAGTGACAGTATAGTAGATAGAAGTTGGTCTTTGGTGTTATAAAACCTGGGTTAGTATCCCAGCTCTGTCACTTTTACTAATTATGTAACTTTGGCCAAGTTTTATAACTTCTGTAAGCCTCAGTTTTCTTACCTTGGAAATCTTTTTAAGATTGTGAGAACTAGATAAGAAACTATATGCAAATTCTTTTTGTAAATGCTGAAGTGCTCTGTGACTATTAGATATGATTTCCAGTGGATTTAACAGGTTAGTTTTAGTTCCTCAGTGTTGAAGCAGTCTATAAGGGATTTTATATATAATTTTGTATGATTCAGTTGTGACTGAAATAATTCGTCGATGGCTGTATATTGGAATGAGATCTCATGAAAATTGGATATTTACAAGTAACCTAATCCTAATGTTAACCCAAATCACTAGGACATGGCTTTCTATTTTCCTTTCTTTAACCTTTTATTGTGGAAAATTTCAAACAAAAAGAGAGAATAGTATAATGAACCCCAGTGTATTTCACTGAATTTCAACAGTTATCAAAACATTTTGCCATTCCTGTTCTTTCTATCCTTTCCTCTTGTCTTTTTTTTTTTCTTTTGGAGATTTCTAAAGCAATATCATTTCACCTATAAATATTCCTGTCTTTATTTCTAACAGATAAGGACTTTTAAAAAAACTACAGTACTGCTATTATTATACCTAACAAAATCAACAATAATTCCTTAATAGCATGTCATATCCAGTTGATGTTCAGTTTTCCCTGATTGAACATGAATTTTAAATGACAGATTTCTAAATTTAGAATTGTTTTATTAGCTCTACGGATCTGGAAGTAGATTATAAATTCACAGTTAAAATCACAGTTATTTTTCAAAAGAGCCAGAAACAAAATAGAAATATAAAACTATTCTTTTGTATCATTGTTTTATAAATTCACCTTAACAATTGTCCTTGCCCAGTTTTTTTGCATCCTCTTTCATCTCCTGGGTTTCAAATGAACAAACCAGACATTGATTGCTGTAAGATTTAAGGTCCTGTGGATCAAAAAGCAAAGACAATACACTTGTATGTGCCTCCACCTACTGGCTAGGTGAGAGATTGCTTCTATAGCTGCAGTGTAGACTAAGCTACTCCAGAATTAGTTACAGGTTTCTGGCAATAGATATAGTTACCCCCGGTATTCAAGGGCTCAGTTGCTTAGGTTATGGGTTATCTAGATCTTTTTCACAGTTTCTAGCACTACTCCAATACAGAGAAGACAAGGAAAGGGAAAACGAATGAAATTAGGTCACAACTTCTGTTTGTTGGCTGCCTGAAACAACTCATCATTTTGGTGGAGAAAAGGCTAGACAA